AATTTTAATTAACCAAAATCCTATTAACATAATACTGGAATATTTGCGTATACTCACATAAAATATTGGTGCTACTGTGAGGTTGTTCCTGACAAAAACAAGAAATGATTTACTGGTCGAGTCGACGAAACCACAACCGTTCTCTCACGGCTGCGTCGCCGAAGCTTACTTATGTAGACGGGTCTGATAAGTCCCACTTTACTCTGATTTGTGGCCACCGTAAGCACCGATATATATTTTCATCAACGTTATTTATACGAACAAGTTATTTTTATGATGTTCTTAAGGGGTACAAAACGCGACAAATGTCTTACACGCTTTTGAAAAAATGCTTACCATATGTCACGCATATTTTATAAAAGTTCGTATGTAAATGCTCGGAGTTATGTATACTTTATTTTGTTAAATATCATCGTGTGGGTTTGATTTCAGTAAGTACCGACGTGTGGTTGTTTCATTTCAGTCAACAGTTTCATCAAGTGCTAAAGCTGTTACTTAACTTGAAACTTAATAATAATACAGTGTTACGTAAAAGTGGGTGTAAAATACTTACTACCTACACTCTTTGGTGGAGAGGAGATGTTACTCATAGGTTTCAATCATACTTGAGTCGAACATTTTAGTTTAATGTGTGAATTTCTCCCCACCTCAAAAGAAGACCGTGAACAACATGTGAGCCACGACAATGGAGGGTTTACAATCGTTTCTGTTGGCAGTAAACAGCTTAAAAATCCATCAAAGTACATATGTGGCTAGACGTAGGTAAGCCTACTAGTCTCCATGCACAACCAGCAGATCAAAACATGAAAACTTATGCATGTACTACCTGCTTAGCAGAAATGTAAGGTACAAGTAACTAAGTGATATAAAATACGTATACAAGAGTAAAAGCATAAACATCAGATCATTCCGCTTTTACCGACCAAACTTTGTAGGCAAAATCGGTAATTGACGTTGAAAATAAGCCCTTGCGGGTGAAAATATCGTATTGGTCGTAATCAAAGGCTTACAACCTGGTGGTGGCAGGAAAAGCCGGACCATTAAATATTACAAAGAAACATAATACCCACACGTTAATGAACAGCGTAAAAGAATAAGTATTTTATTATGAATAAATTGGAGTTGTGTTTTCATTAATTATCTGTTTCGCTGTGAATATTATTCCTATGTGGATCGCGCGTGGAGGGTCATTAGTGCTGCTGATGAAAAAACTTTCTCGGTTAGACCTATGACCTATCCAATACGAACTAAATTAATTTTTCACAAAAACTACAAGCTTTTGATAGAAAACTGACGCTATTTATTTTCGCAGCTGGTGATAGAGACCTACTTATCTTCTCGACTTTTCGAGCCCAAACTTTTTGACAACTTTCGAGAATATTCTTACTTAAAATTATAAATTGAAATTGTAGAAAATCATATTTCTAAGAAAACAAAATCCTAACGATCACACTGAATCAAATCCTGTGTGTGTGCGAGTTCCAAAGAAATAATACTTCAACCACTGCGTAATTTTATTGAGTACCTTCAAAACAACAAAGACATAAAAGTTTTAATAGTTCACAAAGATACCTCGTTAAATGTACGAACAAGATTTAAGTCCAATTCAAATTGTTCACTTTAGATACATAAAATATTTAATTTCAGATGAACGATAAGGAGGTCCCGCATCCAACACAAAATGAGCATACGACGATATTCAGTTTCAGTTTCCGTTTTCCTCTTGGGCAAGCATAGACTCGGATTGGAGCTGGTAAATTCACCTGGTAGAATAAAAAACAGAAAAAGAAATACAAAAGGCGTCGGCTAGCAAAGTTACCTGGGACCACGTAACATTGTAATATCAACCTTAATATTCAGGAAATAAAATTCAAATGGCAACAAATAAAATCTTGGTAGACATGTTCGTGAGCTTCATTTGGGCAAAGGGGGGTCAAACACTTAAACTCCGGAGATACAAGATTGCAGACGAGTTGAGGCAAACGAAGCAAGCTTCATGAATCGCTTTCGTGCATGCGAGGGGGATTTTTTGAGAGTCGCTATGTAATCAACCTGCTATTTTGACGGTACACATGGATGATGCACGGCTTTTCATGACGGATTATTAATTATAATTAAGTATAGCATTAACTATATTGAGCTTAGAATCTTATCTCGCCCACGATACTGCTAAATAAATGAAGCCTTGCTTCTTCACATTCGTATGCACAGTGCTACGTTCGAAATGAACTTCATCGCTGTAAAGGCTTTTTATGTGTACAATCATTCTGTATTCTGATCCTTCGTAGTGTTAGTAATATACGTTCACAATGTGGAACTCACACTTATATACAGAACAGATCATCACTGGGGACCGTTTGAAAAAGGGAAAACAGGAAACGTGTGAAAAAATAAGCTTTTTTCCCGTCGAAAGGCGTGAACGCGACGCATCACCTATTTCTAAAGGAACGTAAATAAACGCACCTTTAAGAGTGCGTCTGAATCGACACATGTCCGTACATCCTCGCCGTGTGTCAACATTCACCAGAGGCTTATTCTGAGGTAATATGGCATTACTTATTTATTCTCGGATACTGTGAGCTCGATTGTCAAGCGATGTCAACTCTCTGTGACCAAAATAACATTCAATATACGAAATGAAATATTGATCAACATTGCAAACTCACTTCATTTGAAAGGATTTAGTTAGTAATAACTGATGCATTTCAAATTATGTATCTGTCTATAAAACAATGATGAATCGAACAAACCACATGCAAAAATGTGATTAAAAAAATAAACTTACTGTGTATTTGTAACACGTTGTTGCTTAGATTGTTTGCTTTTTTGCAAGAAAACCACTGAAAAGATGAAACGAAGAGAAAATAAATCGGAATAATCCTTTCTATCGCTTAGTATATTCCGAGGAACGCTTCTAATTACTACAACCCGTTGCAGGTGCGGTTGCATTTGCCACATCATCAAAGGGGTTGCAAGTGACGTTGCTACCTGCAAAGAAAACAGCTTTTGTTTTCTTTGACCGGGACCTAAACACACGACAACTTTCAGATTTTCTTACCTAGATTAGTTCCTTTCATTTATCCGCAGTTTCATTTAATAAAACCTTTAAGCTTTTTACCGAGCGTTCTACTTTTAAGAAGGATTAAAATAAACATGCAGTTACTATGTTCGTAGTTAAAGTAAATGGAGACGCTTGACAAATCAAAACGCTTAGTACACAAGAGCAAAGTTCGAGCGCGCTTCGTTGTAAATCTAGATCGTAAACTAACATTAATCGTCCGTAGAGAACAAACTAGTTTCTCTAATTATTTCCTCGCCTTTGACCCTCTGGTTTTGTCTCACAGATTGCTGCATTCTAATAACGACACCATTAATCGTGAAATTCAATGGGATCTTTAGTGCGTCACAAAATTGCACGAAATTATGGATTTCATTATCTTTGTGGGATAAACATAACCAAATTATAATTATTATTATTTTTTTTTTTTTAAAAAAACGTTGCCCCACACTAGGATTTTCTCCTGTGTCGTGGGTGCGTTTACAAACATACAAGTTCACATACACATGACACCCAGACCCGGAACAACAATCTGTGGATCACACAAAGAGTTGTTCCGTGCGGGAATCGAACCCGCGACACGTTGCGCGGCAGCCAGTTGCCCAGCCACCGCGCCAACCGTGCAGTCATTATGAAAGTGATATCTTGAATTTGAAGTAAATTCATAAGCAATTTATATATAGTTTACATTTGAGTCTATATCGTGCACTCAGTAGTAGTATTAATCACAATCAATCTTACTACAGCCAATCTTTAACACATTAAACGCCGTAGGGGTCACCGGTGACCGACGTTATCGGAGGATTTGCCTTCATCAGTTTTCTATTTGCAGTCAAAGCCTTAATTATCAAAAATAATGTGTACCTACCCAGCTATATTCAGAATTATGCTGAGATAGGAAAATGCATATTATAATACAATTTAGGTTCTACGTTCCATTACGTCGACATCCTATAGGAATATGCACTAATATTCTCGTCTTGCCGTCATAACCCAGAAGAGGAAATAGAGAGTTATATAGCACCACGACAGACCCCAACCGGGAACATAACTACACAAAAAAACGTTAATAGAATAATAAAACCAAAACGGTGTACGAATAAGAGGATTTAAAAACTCGCTCGAGGTTTTAAATAAGTGTGCATAGTCCTGATTCGAATGTTTTGAATAAATGACAAACACATAAAAGATTTTTATAGATATATACTAACTAATAGAGTTATTAGTATTGATGAATATTGAATACCCCGATTCTTACGTCTAGGCTCACAAGCAGAATTTTAGAGTGACATGTTTATTTCTCCATGATGAATTGCGATAGTTTTGCTACTGTATATTTTTAAATGAATCCTTAAGTGTTTGATTGCCAACAGGAAACTGTTGAAGGTATATCCTTCGCTGACATGTAGGTCACCGGTGACCTACGCGGCGGTTATCGTGTTAAATAAATATTAATCATTTCATTTCAATTAATAATTTGATTACCTTTTTTGACCATTCTTAACCTGTCACTTTGATTAAGGAAATATTTGGTGCTTGGGAGGTAGCTCAGGATGCTATTGGTGTCTTTTGTGAGCTCTCAAAAACATTTGATTGCGTTGACCATGAGACACTTTTGCTGAAAAGAGATCACTATGGGATAAGAAACTCTGAACTCCGTCTTATGAAATCATATTTAGAAGAAAGACAGTTAAAGGTTCATGTTAACGGTATTAACTCACAGGGCTCTGGGATGAATATGGGCATTCCTCAAGTTTCAATATTGGGTCCCTTTCTCTTTTTAGTCTATATAATGGATGGATATTCGTGGGGGGGCTCGGGCGTCCCCGCAGTCTCCAGACTGGCCTCCCAATGGTGTGGTTAACTACGGTGCGCGTCGTGGGGTCGCCTGCGTGGGGGACCATTTCACTGCCATCCTCTCAGCAACCTTCCACTCTACATTATGACACTGAGAAATAAGAAAAGGGTTCAACAGCGGCTGCACTCCCTCTCCTTCATAGTGCACCTCTCAAATATTCGAGGTTTGCACTCAAATGTCAATGCGGTCCATCACCACCTCGAGACCGAGAACCCTACACTCTTGTTTCTCTCGGAGACCCAGATCAGGTGCCCGTCGGACGTATCCTACCTGGACTACCCTGGTTTTTCTCTGGAGCACAATTTTGTTCCGCATGCAGGTGTATGCGTATACGTCCGAGACGGCATCTGTTACCGGCGTCTCCGAAACCTTGAAGACCCAAGCTTTTCTGCTCTCTGGATACTGGTGGACATAGGCATGGAGAAAATTCTTTATGCCTGTGTCTATCGGTCGCACAGCGGAGATTTGGAGGCGACCAGATTAGCGCAATACCTCGGCGAAGCGGCGGATGCGGCTCGTCAGGCGTACCCTTCGGCACAGTTGGTGTTACTGGGGGACTTTAACGCCCATCATCAGGAGTGGTTATTCCCATACCAGTGCACCGACCATGCTGGAAGGGAAATGCGTAAGCTTGCGCTTTCGCTTGGCCTGACCCAGCTGGTCCAGGAAGCCACAAGGGTGCCCGATGTCGATACGCACACTGCCAATTGCTTAGACCTTCTGCTGACAAGTGATCCAGACCGCTACTCGGTGACAGTCTCATCACCTCTAGGTAGCTCTGACCACTGTCTGGTGAAATCTGTATCGACACACTCCCCACCAGATCCGAGTCCCAGAGGACCTCGGCGGATGTGGCGATACAAGTCAGCGGACTGGGATGGGATGCGATCTTTTTTCGCTTCCTATCCTTGGCGGCCTGTCTGCTTCTCTTCTGATGACCCGTCAGCTTGTGCGGAAGCCGTAACGGGGGTGCTGCGCCAGGGCATGGAATACTACATTCCATTCTCGGACGTGGCATCCTCTGGTGGGACCCGTCCTTGGTTCGATGCCGACTGCGGACGTGCCGAAGCGCAAAAGCAGGCGGCATACTTGGCATGGGCGGATGCCAGGCGCCGTAGGGCTGATGACATTCATCAAAAGAAGAGAGCCTTTAATCGGGCTGCCAAGTCATGCAAAAAGGCATTACGGATGGCTCGATTTAACCACATTGGCCGTATAGGGAACAAACTAGCTTCCTACCCAGCGGGAAGTAAAGCCTTTTGGTCCCTGGCCAAGGCGGTTGAATCGAACTTCTGTCGCTCCTCACTTCCTCCGCTCCTGAGGTCTGACGGAACGCTGGCTCACACTGCGGTAGAGAAAGCGAATCTATTTGCTTCTCTATTTGCGGAGTCTTCGCGTCTTGACACTGGTGGCGCCTTGCCTCCTTCTGTTAATAGCGTATGCAAGACGAATATGTCGCAAATTCGCATTCGACAGAGGGAGGTATATAGGACGCTACGCGATCTGGACGTGAACAAGGCCAGTGGTCCCGACGGAATCCCAGCCCTGGTTTTAAAAACCTGTGCGCCTGAGTTGTCTCCAATCTTGACACGTCTGTTTCGCCTTTCCTTGGAGACGGGTCTAGTACCGGTTGCATGGAAGCTGGCCAACGTACAGCCTGTGCCTAAAAAAGGTAGTCGTGCCGACCCTAACAATTACCGCCCTATTTCGGTCACGTCCATACTCTGCAAGAGCATGGAACGTGTTCTTAACAATAGACTCCTGGCATACCTTGAAGGTAACGATCTCCTCAGCGATCGGCAATACGGGTTTCGGCGTAACCGATCGACTGGGGACCTTCTTGC